CAGCCATAATTGTGATTGCACATAATGGTGAAATGAATTTCCTTGTGAATATGTTACTTTGTATTTATGGAGATGTGTTTCCAGGATGAACACTTAGAACTGCTGGGTCAACAGGCAAAGTTATCTATAGCTTTATTAGATAATGACACATATCCCTCCTACCATTTTGTTTCCCTCCAAGAGCAACATTTGAGGGTGCCTGTTTAGGGGGTAAATAGAAGAGCCTTTTTAGTTAGAGTAAGGGAGTATCAGTGGCTCGCAACCCTCAACTGACATCACAATTTCTCAGGGAGCTTTTTGCAGATATGTATGTTGGGACTTCAGCCCCAGGCGCTGATTTATTCAGCCTTCAGTGGACATTATGAGTCATGGATTCAAATATTTTGTAGGAGCACTAGCTTAACATCTATGTTTAGTTACCTACACAGTAGCTCTTCCCTTTAACAAACTTCCCACTCTAGGAGGTATATAAAAGCATACTGTTAGTGAGTGAACCTTATCATGCTTGTGGTTCCTGAATTACCTACAAATACTGGGGACTATATAGCCTTAATTTTTCAAAAATAGCCTGATATCAATTACTTTTCAATCGGTGAGCATTTATTGAACACTTACTGAATGCCAGTCATTGCCTAGGTACTGAGGAAAAAATACAAGACAGATCAGGTCCTTGTCTTTTGCGTCTTCATTCTAGTTGGGGGAGATGCAGTTAACAGTCCATTGAACCCCTCAGATGGCTAAAGACAGGGTGTGTATGTAGGTTCCTGCCCTTAACTCGTTTTCCAATGGAGGAGATGCAAGCAAACGGAATATGATCATTATAGAAAGGGGTCCTCAGAGATCATATGGGTGTTGTCTAACCCAGCTAGAATGGTGAGGGAATACGTCTTAGCGTTGGTGATGGACATTTGGGTTGAATTTTTCCAGTCCAAAAAAAGGGAGGGATAGCATTTCAAGGTTAAGAGAATGATGTGTGTACAAAGGTTTAGAGGTGAGAGAGGCATGCTGTGTTGCTTTTAGAGACGTTCCAATGTCTCAGAGTGGCTGGAGCATGGGATTCAAGCCAGGGCATGACAAAAAGAAGATTGGACAAGTAACTAGAGGCCATGTTATCGGTTCTAGTGCCTGGTGCATAGTAGGTGCTCAATAAATCATTGGATGGCATTGGATGGTTGCTTGCATGAATGACAACTTGCTGATTTGTGGAATAGAGCAGTTTTGCAGTGGCGGCTGCTAACCACACTCACAATGGGAGGAGTTGGTGTTTCCAGTGTATTTGATATTTTATCTTATAGGTAAAACTGAATTTTTTTAAAATGCAAATGACAATCTGATTACAAAAGTAGCCATAATTGAGGAGGGTCATCTGCCTGATATATTGCCCCCATTCTGGATTGATGGACAGAAAAAAATATCTTCTCAAATTGTTGTCACGATGTTTCTCTTTATCTGCTTATTATAATCCAGTTTCAGGGATAGATGGAATTTTAAAAACGCATAGCCCCTTTGCCCCTTAGAGCCCCGACCCCGAGGAGTATTTCCCTTTAAAGAAAAACAAACCGACAAGATAACAGACAGATGTTAGCTCTAGAATTGCTTCCTTAGGAAATCGTGTTTGTGTGTGAGTCTGTGGTCTCATTGACAGTCCATTAAATGGGAACACAGAGTTTCAACAATTAAAACGATCGTTTGAGGGACTGGAGTTCCTCGTGGAAGCTGGGATTGGATTTGCAGCTGTAGCGGTGGGGCACTGAATCACCTTAGATATGAATTTCTTTGAAGCTTTGCTGCCTCTTCTCCCCTCAAAGTATGTTAAACTTGACCTTGTTTTAAGTTACTCAATAACCGCAAGCATCAGAGAACTATTTTCTGAAATAGACTCAATAAGCCAATTTAATCTGATTCCCGTGACCTACATCAGTTAATGCTTTGTGAGAAATCTATTTTCATTTAAATCTGTATTTGCTGTTTTACTCCTCTATTGCTACGTCTCTATGAAAAGTGCTAGAAGATTCATAAAGCAAGGAAGCGGCTATTTTGTCTGTTGGTAAACGTCAGTGAATTTTAGTAGCAACATTGGGTCAGGAATGGGTGGAAACTCACTCCATCACGTAACTGGCACTGTGACTTGAGATATGCTTCCCCATTTCTTCTGTCTTGATAAAAAGTTTGAATTCGGCAGATACGCATAGATTTACTGTGTTATTATAGGAACTCACAAAATGAGAACACACTGACAAAGGCTCAGCAAAGGCAGCGATAGCAAATTTCTATTTGGTGGTTGAAAACACGTTCTTCATATCAGGCAAGGCCTCGTACAGGCAAGCTCTGTATTGGGATGGCTTCTAAAATCCTATCAATTTTATCTACTGGCTGGAAAGACTTTTAATTTATTTTCTACTTACAAAATGCATGCTTTATTAAATCAGACTGTTTTAAATTCAAAGGTAGGATTTGGGTAATTTAGAAAATACGAACTTAGTGTTTCTGGACACGTTTTGTGCCTATTCTAAGAAAGGTAAGTTATTGAGAATATTTTTGCAAGTGAAGTGAAAGTTGAAACTCAACAAGTGATTGGTAGACTAAACAGGGTGTATGTAGGACTTTTAATAGGGTGTACTATTTGGCTATTTGGGAAAATGTTTTTGCCTTAACTGGATTGGGATACCAGCTTTCACCAAATAAGACATCAATTATTTAAAACTACTAGCTTAGGACAAATAAACATTCAGTACTAGAAAGATTGATATTTTTATGTTCTAAGTAGTTTTAGTTAAGTATGTCTACCCATGTGTACTTAAAACAAACATTAAGTGTCCATTCAAAAATTAAATATCCATATATTGTAAATAACAATACAGATTTTCCTTCTGGTCCAAATCCAAAATGTTTTAGAATGACTTTACCCCAACCAAAATAAATAAATAAATAAAACTAAAATAACCTTCTGCATTTGTGGAAATTACTAGTAAGTGGTTTCACTTACTAGTGAAATGACTGATTCATTATGATGTTTAAGTGACTCTCAATTGTTTTAAAAATATGACAGATATTTTAGTTTCCCTAAAGTTAAATACATTTGATGTTATGAAGAATAATTGCAATAACGCCATAATGAAACCAGTTTAAGACTTAGGAATTGTCTATCTCTTAGTTTCAAAAAAAATAATAAAGAATTAGATTTTATGTGGTCTATATGTATAAATATACTTACGGATCATGACACACATACTATATTCCCACACTTCTATATTTAGAATATGTATTTGTATTCTGAAAGGTTACATAATTAAATAAAATGTGTGGAAGTAAATTGTTTTTTATTTGACAATAAGACCTTTAACATTTAACAAGATAACATTTCTTATAGAAGTCATTTACATGTGAAGTTCCTTAATAAAATGAACTATTGCTTTCTGACATAAAAGTTATATTTGTATAGTGTTTTTGTTTTTAGGGAACTTGCTTATTTTTTTACTCTTTCAGCTTAAATAGTTGAGCATAGTCTTGGGGATAAAAATTTGGGATAACCCTAACTTCACCTTTCAGTTTGGGGCTTCTTGGAAAGCTGAATATTCTTATTATCAAGATAATAACACAGTGAGTGGCAGGCATGCAGTTTTATCTGGGTGTTAGTGAATAAATGAATGCCCGTGATGTATCATCTACCATGGTCAGCAAGCATCATTAATCTGTAAGGATGTTTCTGTTTAAGGACGAGGAAGGAGTTCAAACTGAATAAGCAACAACGGGAAAGATGGCGAATCTAGCATTTCCCCTCATTGATTCTGTCATCACAGCCCAGTGAGTAGAGAGAAAGGAATTTACAAGGCAAGAAATGGCTGTGCGCCTAGAGCTGGTGGTTGTTTGACAATGTGATGACCTAATAGCCCTACCATGGCACCACAGAACCTCTGACAAGCATTTTACTGTAGCTTTTCAGAGATGAGAATTTGAACACTGCTAAGGTTTAATAAACATTTGTGATTCAGTCCCTTCCCTTTCACTTTTTTTTCTGGAAGTCTTATTAATGAAAATCAATCTCTCTCTGTGTTGTCTAATAATTCATGAATTATAACTTCATATAAATAACATTATGTGGTAACGCTGATTTCCCAATATTTATTTCACACAGAAGTCAGGACTTCAGTAGATAGGAAATTTCGAGATTCAAGAGTGTTTTGGCCAACGCTGTCACCTTCAGACCCTGTGCTACATTTCATCAGAGCCGCGTCCCTCCAGCTGCCTGAGCCAGAAACCTGGGACCTTTCCCTCACTCGCTGATCCTTTCCTGTCCCCGCTGCCCTCCACCCCCACTGCCGTCATTCCAGCCGCGCCCGTCCCTCCCGTTCATTGTCTGCTGGGCTGCCAGAGGAACTTTAAAAACTTACGTGCAATGGAATATTACTCAGCTATAAAAAAGGGATGAAATTCTGATACATGGTTCAACAGGCATGAACCTTGAAAATATGCTTAGTGAGATAGGCCAGAAACAAAAGGACATGTATGATTGCTCTTATCGGAGGGACCTAGAACAGGCAAATTCACAGAGACGAGAACCAGAAGAGAGGCTACCAGGGGCTGGGGGAGGGGGAAAGTGGGCGTTACTGTTTAGCGGGGACAGAGCTTCTGTTAGGGAAGATGAGAAAGTTCTGGAAGTACTGGTGATGGTCACAATATTATGAATGCACTTAATGCCACTGAAGTGTGCACTTTAAATGGTTAAAAGGGTAAAAAAAAAAAAAGAAAGGAATGATAATGCAGTTATGATTGACAGGCCCTACGCTTGACAGGAAAACATCTACACTGCTCAGTAGGAAGGGGAGGGGCCGCTCTTCCATCTTTCCCGCCTCTCCCCGAAGTATAAGAACTGCTTCTGCCGGTTCCTGGGGGCCTCGGCCTCAGCACCTCTCGCTTGGGATTGGAGGAGCGGAGGAAGGGCCCTGCTTGGCCTGCATTGTCCCCCCTCACCTCCCCTCCCTCCTCTTCACCTTCCTCCTCCTCCTCTGCTCTCCTTCTCTCGCTCTCTGCTCTCCCAGCCTATTAGCTCTCCCTGGGGGGCGGGCGTTGCTCCCTGGCCCTGCTGCCGCCTAGTGACCTGGCCTCTCCTCGCCTGTGGGGACAGCTGTTCTCTTCATTCCAGCCAGAGTGGGAAGGAGGAGGAAGTGACGTTTCGGCTTTGGGGCCAGCTGTGTCCTCCAGCGTGCTTTAGAGCAGTGCAGCCGAGGCCGTGTTTTAACTTCCACGTGTTCCTCCACCTGCTTCTCCATCGGGCTCCCAGAGCGGAGGGAAGGGTTGTGCCTCACTGGCTGGTTAGTTCATGCCCTCCAACCCCACTGCCCTGCATGGCGGACCGACCCTCTTTTTCCCGTCTCATCGGATGGTGTACCAGGAAGAGACAGCTGGGTACCAGGTACTGTTCTAAGGGCTTTACACATGTTAACGCATTTTATTCTGAACAACCTGTGAGGTCGGTGCTGCTACTATCCCCTGTCACAGAGGTATTTGTGTCAGTTGTCAGCTCCGGTCCCTGCTCCTAACCATACTCGCTCTGCCTCACCCAGACCTCTGTGCCTTTGCATCTGCTGTGTCCTCATCCTTGAAGTGAAAATGCTGCCTTTTCCTGAAAAATCTTTCCTGGCATCGCCAGACAGACACAGGTGCTCTTCCATTTCTACCTGATCCCCACTTTAAGCCCAAATCATACTACTGTGCTGCAGTTATTAGCATGGCTGTCTTTGCAGGGGAGGGCCCCATTCTTTTCTCTTTAGATTCCCCCAAACCTAGACTAGTGTCTCGTACTCAATACATATTTGAATGCATGCATTTTTAGTAGTATTTGTTGCTCGAGCATTTTCTCTGGGAAATTGAAGGTGAAGTTGAATGAACACCTTATTTCCAAAAACACGGTCCTAGGTCATCTGACCGTACTCTAAGAATATTGCCACTTTCCCCTAACCCAACACCCATAGGTAGGGTTTTAAATACTCAAACAAACTCAAAGCTAGAAAGCAGAGCAGAGGCTGCCAGCCGGAGCTGGGGTGGGGGTAGGAACGATGGATGGATGAAGCACACAGGGACCTTTGGGGGTGATGGAAATAGCTTGATTGGCGTAATGATTACACCGTGGTGTACATTTGTCGAAACTCGTTGAACTCTACGTTTAAAACATGTGCATTTTATTGTTGATAAATTTTACCTCAAAGTTGACTTACACATAAGAAAGCAAGGGGAGAAATCTTCGGGACTTATTGTTTGGTTAGGAAAGATGGATTCATGGCTGATGGCATTTGGTTGCACTGCTTTTCAGTATCGGGTTTGGGGGGCTGTACGTTTTTTCTTCTTACCTCGCCTAAATGGAAAATCAACCCTCATTGAGTTCCTGCAGCTGGAAGGAAGAGAAAACAGAAGTAATGAGCAGACTGACAGCTGACTCCCCTCGGCGCTTAATTTTAGTACCGATGCCTTTAGGAAATCTTGGCAACTTCAGTTTGAGGCTGAATTCCTGCGATGAATCATGGATTCGGAGGGGAGTCAGGGCGACTGCAGCAATAAACATGCTGCTCAGAGAGAATAATCTTATGAATGGCTTTTGAATAGACTGAAAGAAATACCTATAAAACCCACCAGGTTTTTCATGTCCCATTCTTTTCAAGTGTTTAATATAGAATGTTCTCTGGGTAATTCGAAGAAACTGAAGGGGGGGAAAAAACCCATTCTGAGGCACTGTTGAAGGAATGTTCCACGTGGGGAATTGACCCAATGTCTATTCTGGGTAAAGGTGAACCTCCATCAAGTGCTACTGTGTAGAGCTGAGGTTCACCTGGCCAAGAGCTACATCTGTTCAGCTCCGTCGCGGCTTGCCATAACTAGTCAAATGAACACAGGAACTGTATCCGGAATTCGGACGATCAGGAGGCATTCTCATCACGTCTCTGTAGTTCCATCAAGCGAAGGTCTGCCTTGAATCGGGAGCTGTCGTAATGAATTCTGGAGTCATCGATCACGTTGTTGAAGTAGTAGATTTACATTTCTAAGTGTGAAGAAAGTTTGGAAGTCTATCTGTACATTCGCACTAATGGGCTTAGTACTTGCTATTGGCAGGACAGGCAAATGGTGATTTTTAATGTTCTTTGTTCAACTCTCTTTCCTCTAGTTGCTTGGAAACAGCCATTTAAAAAGATGCTGCATCTGTAAATGCTGGTATTCCCTTATTGTCTCGCCCAAATCGCTGTGAGAATATTTTGCATCCTGTAGCTTGACAGGAAACTCAGGTGAGATGACTAATGTTAGAGCAATATGCTAATTTGAAGACAGGTGTCTCCAGAGTAATATACAGAATTTAGGGGATTAAGGGCAGGGCCAATGAGACTAGACCCGGGGTCAGCAACCGGTGGCTTATTGGCCAAATCCAGCTGGGGCCTATTTCTGTAAATGCAGTGACACATTGTCTGACTGCTTTCCCATTTTGATGGCAGAGTTGTTGAATATTTATTTGTAAAAGAGCCTTGAAACCTAAAATACTTATTACCTGCCCCTTTACAGAAAAAGGTTGCGGGAGGGGGGTTCCCTGATGTAGATAAAATGTAATGAGAAAACATTTAAGAACAAATTGTCTTAAGGTGTTCACTTTGTGCTGGAATTTGTGGTTGGGTAAAAAAATAGCAGTGGGGACTACACATGCGTGGTTCATATTATGAAAATGCAAATATTTACATTAGATGTTTGTCTGGGGCCTTCAGAGGTCCTCTGTGTCCTGCACATGACGAGCAGGGGCCGCAATAGAGAGGGGCGTTTCCTGTCCAGGAAGCTCGCCTACCAGGAGCTCTCCATCCTCGATGCACATCCCCAAGTCCCCAACCCCATCCCCACAGCAATGCCTTATGTGCATTCTTGGCATTGGGCAGTCTTTAGACAGCCTTGAGGTGTACCTCCTTAAACTTCTGTATCTTTTGAGGTTCAGCGCCCACCTTGCTACCTAGGATGGTGCTGACATGGGTCAAATGTGATGCTTCATCAAATAAAGGAAATTTCGGTGCCCTTCCCTCTGACTTTTCTCGCGCTGTAGTGTCTCTGGAGTGGTAAGAACAGTGGACCAGCTTGGGGGCTCCTTGGGTTCCAATACCCTTTCCAGCTCTAACAAATAATGACAGTGCTTTGCTTAATGGTTCTAAGTCCTGTGCTTGATCAACTGAAAATATATGATCACTAGAAGAAGACCCCCATTTCGGTGCCCTGTCTCCCCTTTCTCCTTTCCAGTGGTTCCCTGTACATGGCTCTTCCTTCAGGTTGCATATCCAGGCTCCCCGAGCTCAGAGACGCATTCGGCATCATGACCCCAGTGCCTTGGCCCATGCTCGGCACACGGTGGGGTCCCAGTTAATATGTGTTTTCCTCCCACTACATACTTTGCCCTAGTAGATAGATGTCCAACCATTGGGAAGACTTAGGATTTTTGTTTGTTTTCCATTTCTTTGGATTTACTTATTATGCACCTGACTTGTCAGTTCCTTCAGCTCTACTCAGAATTCTGGGAGTTGGGGTAATTGATCTTTGCTCTGCCTGCCTGTCTGATGGCATCTACCTTTTATCACCCCTTCTCTCCAGGGAGCCTGGTGATCTCCTGACAGTCTTTATATTATCCCTTCACTGCTTTTGTGACTATCTGCAATTTTTTCTTTACCGTTGCTGGGTGATCGGAGCAAGGGAAGGTGAGGCAGTGTGTGTGTGTGTGTGTGTGTGTGTGTGTGTGTGTGTGTGTGTGTGTGTGTGAGATTAATGCCAGTGTTAACCTTGGCCTCTATGAGCAGGATAGCCATGCAGGCTTCTTTGCAAAGAAAAGTTGGAACCACCTTCACCTGGTAGCAAGTTTAAGTTACAGGGATATCTTACTTGATCTGAGAAGGTTATTGATTAGGCATAAAATAGTGATTCTTTTGCTGTTACTGCAAAGTTGTGACATTTGTTATGGTGTTAGCTCTAGTTAGACTCATTCATTAAACCAAAGGCATAGGAAGAAGCTTCTAGCGTAAGTTGCCTCCCATTTATTTAAGTGCCTACCATCTCATGTAAATGTGCATTCTTATGAGATCATTAGCAGATAATATTTACAAATTGCCTGTCAGGAATAATCAGCATAGAACAAACAGCCTGACAGCTCTGTGTTTAGCAATTACTTAGGTCATAGAATTATTTTTACCAGAAGATACTCTAGGGGCTCGTTTAGTCCAGTGTCTTTGCAGGTGAGGATACTGCATTTCCTGGAGAGGTGATTTGCTTCATGCAGGGAACCCATCTACTTAAGAGCAGAATTAAAGCTGAAATCCTTATCTCCTGGTCCCTAATAGAAATAATTATCTGATAGATATTAAAACACACCAACCAACAGAAACCAGTAGTTACCATCACGCATGGCAATACTGAAATTTGCCATTAATTCCTTAAAATGCCTTGATTCCAATATACTTTGATTTTAAATATATATCCCTATACTGCGGGTGGGTCAAATTCCTTTATCTTTTTTTTTTTAAACTTAAATGAAACGTTTTTGTGTAAATGTAGTGCTCCTGGAGAACATGGTTCAGTTTCAGCTGTTTGGTTAGTTGTGTTTTTGCAGTAACAGAATTGGCGCATGCAGACAAGGACGGTGCCTATGCTGTGGTCAGGTCCATGGGCCCATGGTTGTCCCAGTGGGCAGTGCTGGCAGGGCCAGACCTTTGGTGGTGTGGCAAGTCCCTGACTGACCTTGGCATTTTGCCCAATCTGCTGCTGTGCCTGTTTAACCCATTGATTTTTCTGTCCCACCCTACGTGCCTCAGCTGCCAGGGCCAGTCTGCCTCCAGCACCATCACCATCCCCTACTCCACCCACCTTGGTCACCGAAAACTTTTAAGTGACCGTTTTCACTTTCTGGATTCTTTGCACCATCAGATACAGCAAATCAGGATGCTCATAGGAGGAAACAGTGCCAATAGTAGAGGTTGGGCCGATGAAATTCTCATTTGAGACCTGGCAGAGTCCTGGAATCCACTGCTTTCTCCATTAAAAGAAAGACGGTATTTATACCAATTGGACCCTACGTGTATTAGGCAGGTGTGTCCTGAAAGGATTGCTCTTTGCTAACAAGGGACCAAGCCTGTGACATCTGTCACCGACAGGCCATTCGCATTCTTGCCACTAATTGAAGTGTTTGATAAGATCCAATATAACTAAGTGGTCTTGCCAGCTGAAATAAATGGAATTTTAACTATTTTGTTTAATCCCATTCCAAATATTTACATTTTCTTGAAGAATTAAGTAAATGGCCTACCTCAGAAAGACATGCTATTTCAATAGAATAAGAAAAGCAATACAGTGTCTAATTTAATCTCTGACTGAGATTTTTTTCTCAACACAACCATTGAATTTAAGGTCCTCACATAGACAGTCAAATGGACCAATTCAAGGTCAACCAGATGTCATTATTTTGGGTCGTTGGGAAAGTCATGACGTATTTTTCTAAGTTTTTCAGTGCAAAAACGTGTCATGACTTTCCTGACGACCCAGTAGATGTAATCAATATCAATTCTTGCAACGATCCTGAAGGGAGACTCCGTCACGAATGCCACTGTCGCAAATCTAAATGAGGACGTATGGGGAGTCTTGAGAGTCTAAGAGTAAAACTATCTGGATTATTTATTTCATTGGCTTTTCTATCCTCATGCGTGGACTTTTAAAAGCAACTGGGGTTATAAAAATTCAGTGTTGGAGACCTTTGTGATTTTACTACTCGCTAAAGTCAGGAGAGTACTTTATCATAGCCACACCCTTTATAAAGATGCTTAAAATTATATAGTTTAAAAAAAGCAATTTTGTGAAAATATATCAATGTTATAAAGTACCAAATATTCACTGCCCCCAAGCAACAGCAGCAACACATGTACCCCCTTTGGGTTTTGACAGCTTTTTCCCCAAATCATGCTTAAATCTCAGTCGGTTTTTTAAAGTATTTTAAAACCAAGGCATGCATTTGTATCACTTTCAATGATTATTCAAGGCCTTTTATCTGCAGATTGTATAATTGATATTATATATGAAACTAACTACTATTTTAGGAAGATGTGTTTGAACTTGTAAGTTTTTTCCTGTAAGCCATAATTATTTTGAGAAAGCTCCCTTCGCCACTGTGCCTCTTTCTGTGGTCATTCTCTTTGATCTTTGCTTTAGGTTCTTTCAAAATAAATTGTAGTGACACTTAAAAATTGTTCCCATATATTTCAGTATATACTTGCTCTTATGCATTCCAGCAAGGTACTCTTTCCTTTGAAATTTAATAAGCATTTTGTGTGAGCATCATGTCTTGCCAACACACAAGGTCCCGAGAGCAGTTGCCAGTGTGTGCTTGTGCATTTGACCAGGAACTCTGACATTCTTTTCTACCTAATGTGGACCTTGTTTCCATTCCCTTTTCTTCTATCTTTGACGCACATCTTTTGAGTTGATGATGAAAGGGAGAAAAAAATGATTCATCGTTAGCTTTGGTCCATAGCCTCATAGATTTTCTTCTCTTTACCTAACTAATCATCATCATTACTAGTTATGCTCCAGAGAGTAAACTGGGCGCGCAGCACAGGCTGGCTTAATATAGAACAAATCGGCATCTAAATCAGAGAGGCTGCTGTCACAGTGGCTTGAGTGGCAGAGCACAGAAAATAGGACCCGTTTTACCATGCTGCTTTTGTGTTCAGCCGGGTTGTAAGGCCTGGAGCTCACTTGGATGGAGCTGGAAACCGAGCAGTATAATCTAATGTTTAAAATGGGAACTCAGCAGCAATTAAGTGAACATTACTTGGAACATAAATTCATGAATAAAGTTGCGTGTTGTTTTTCTTGAAAAATGACAGTGTTGGCGTGTCGTGGGGCACCAGGGCTAAGGGGCACACTTGCACGCCTCCCAAACTGTTCAAAATGGCAGTTCCCTGAGGGCCCGGAGGTGCCTCTGGGCAGGGCATACACAGCAGTGTGGGGAGGAGCAGAGAGCTGGCACCAAGTCCTTTACTACTTGACAGCACGGGAACCCTGAACCCGCGTGACCTTCAACCACAACTCCATCATTGAATTTAAAAGGAAAGCAGGCTTGGCCAGGGAGGAAGCAGGCTCCAAGGAGTTACGACTTGTGCCAGTGTCACAGCCGGTAGGGATATTTGACTCAAGAGTCTTTGAGGCAAGTTAAGAAATAAACTGGTGGTCACAGTTTTGATATTGGTGTCACACAACATTTTTTGTTCCCAACGGTATCTAGCATGAAGGTGGTTGTCTTGAGTGCCATTGTGAAGACAGATTCTCTCCAAATTCATGAAACTGGAGGAACTCTGTGCTTTTTGGGGTACCCCTCCCCAATTTTTTCGTTTCTGCCACTAGAGCTCCAAGTGTTCAATCTTTCCTGCCTGGGCACATTCCCATCTTCCTATGGTCTCTAATATTATGGCCTGACCTCTGTCAAGGGCCTTAAATAGGATAAATAAGAGAATTTGCCAGTATTCAACAGCAAACCCTGCATTTTCTTTTAAGAAATAAACCAACGTGCAAAAATCAATTCAGTACCTTGAGTATAATATTAGAAGAATTCCACCCTAGTCGCTAACGTCTTGGGGGTTTCTCTTTCATTCTATGTTCACCATGGCAGTGGTCCACGCACTTGCCCACTTCTAAGCTCCACACACCACCTTCGCGTGCACCTGTGGCTGGTGGTCGCCATACTGGACAGCACAGACCAGACCACCTGGCTCTGAGCACCCTAGCTTGCCTCCTGCCCCTTGCGCTCAAATTTCCCTATTCTGAAAATGAAAAGAAGTGCTCCTCGATTCGCCTCCCCCTGAGTTTTCATTGTCCCCCTCTACTTCACACTGCCTCACAGGGGCTCTCCTGCGTACATTCCAGCAGCCCTCCAGTCTCCACCACACCTGCTGAAACCACTCAGCAATATGAACCACCTCCTGGTCCCTGAACCCTGAGGTCTTTCCTCGGTGTTCGCCCCACACACAACCGTATGCTGCTCAGAAGTGGCTTGCCTGGGACACGTAGATGGCTTCCTCCCACTCTTCCCTGTTCTTCCTTCCCATGGGACTTAAATATAAGTGCTCCCTAAGTGTCTCTCTGTTCTGTGTTGCCTGTTTCTGGCTGTTATCTCTTCTCTGTGGATGGCACCTAGATCTCTTGGGTGCAGTCCTGACTTTTCTCTACAATATCAACCCCCACGTTTTCAGCTTCCTTTTGACTCTTCTGTGCCTTCTTGGATAATGTATTTCTTCTATCTTCAAGCACCTCAAATGCAATATAGCCAAAACAGAACTCATTGTCTTTCTCTTCTTTCCTCTCTCAGCCTCGTTGTAGCACATGGCCAGATCCCACTGGACTTCTGGAAGACCTTTCCGCAGTTTGTATCTCTTCAAGCTAATTGCCACTGTTTACTTCAGTTACTCCTCACTCTTGTCTAATATGATAATATAAGAGCTTCCCAGCAGGCCTTTGGAACCTCTCCTGAATATACCTAGCTACCTGATGAATCATTCTCGTACTCTTAACCTTTCTGGTGTTTCCCCGTTGCCCAGTGGAACGTCCCACATCCTTGGCCTGGCCCTGGAGGCTGTCTGTGGTCTGTGGCCTCTGCCCCGCGGCCCGTGCCTGGCTATGCTTATTTCTCCCCTCCACTCCACCCCTGGCGGGCTCTGTGAGAACTCGGTTTCTTTAGAAGGCATCTGTATCCAAGACCTCAATGTAAGAGCTAAAGCTATAAAAATTAGAGAAGACATCTCTAAGTTACTCTTGTGTTAGAAAAAAACCCTCCGGCCAGTGGCACAGCTAGATGATAGAAGCAATTCTGTAACCGCTCACCTTTCCTTCGCTCATGCTGATTTCTGACCTGAAAATAACCTGGCCTCTGATTTTACATGTCGAAATCCTCCCCATAATCCAGGCTTGTCACTGACCTGGCCTGATTCCTCCAGCTCCTGTATTGATGTTATAGCTGTTTAAGTCCCTCCACTATTTACTTCAGCTGGGAGTTTCTTATAGGCAGTGACAGGGCCTTTGTTACAAGGGATAAAAACACATACCATAATGCTTGACACATGATAGATATTCAGTGAACATTTGAATGAACAAATGAATGGAAGAGGAAATATATTTATTCATTCTTACCTAACTTTAAATTGCTTACAAGCAGGATTTGGGTCTGATTCATCTTTATATCCTACAGGAGCTAGCGTTATGTGTGATAGAAACTCAATAGATATTTTTATTATTTTCATTTTTTCAGCTTTATTGAGGTATAGTTGACAAATAAAATTGTAAAATATTTAAAGTGTATGTTGTGGTGATTTGATCGATCTGTAAATTGTAAAATGATTCCACCACCTTGCTGATGAACACATCCATTACCTCACCTATTTATCTTTTTTATGAGAACATTTAAGTTTCTACTCTTAGCAAATTTCAATTATTCAATAAATGTTTCTTGAACTAGTGGATAGATAGTCGCTTATGCTATGAGCTTTCTGAATGCTGAATTACTATATTTTACTTTCAATAATTGAATTTAGGGGCCCCTACTACGGCTAAAGTATTTTTAAAATATGTTGCTCTTTTAATTGCCACTGTTAATTTTTATCAGTGATGATTATTTTTTACTTTAAACTTTTTCTGCCTACTTAATTTTGAACAAATTGTATATCATTGGGGAGGGGTGCCATCTTAGTTTCACACAGGAAGTTAGAAAGAAAAAGAGGGTTTGCTTTTTTTAAGGAAAATGTGAAGGAGCTTTTCTATGTGATTAGCTCCTGCCTCTGGGTGTAGGTGGGATTCTAGGGCTAGCAATTATTTCTACAATAGTGGCTGAATAGTTCTTTCCAGAATTATCATGGCTCCATCCAAAGACACATAATTTGAATGCTTTCGATAGGAAACAGAGTTGGGCAGCCTTTATGGAAACACCGCTGGAGCAGTAGTGGGTTACTCAAACCCCAGTTAAGTTGAATTAAGTTGCTCTGCCTCCTGTCAACACCAGAAGGCAGCCACTATTCATGTTTTTCTTGTTGTTGTTTGTTTGTTTGTTTTATGGAGAGGGCTGCTTGCCAATCTTCTCTGACAGCCTTTCACTGTATAATAGTTGATTAGGATCAGTTCATTAATAGTCTTTGCTTGTGGTCATGTTACTTGGTGCAAGCCTAAATAGTAATGAAATGAAAAGAACTCCCTGAAGAATATTCATGATCTTGTGTGCCTTTGTGACCCCGACTGCCGGCAGGTTCATTGCTGCTGGTGGGTTTGTTGTCGTTGTTTTGTTTTTGTCTCTTAAAACCAATTGACAAGAATGACCTCAGTTCAAATGATTTCGTGGTAAAGATAATGGATGCCTGTGTGTGCTTCTTTGGAGGCGTGATTCTAATGACCTATGGGAAGGGAAGGGTCCTGACCCATATAAAATGAAGCGAACTGTTACAGGAAGTACCTAGGTTGTCAAGCCACTCGCATCTGGCAATGAATACTTAGAGGAGGGTAAGTGGAGTAGGGAAAAGAAAGCCAGAAGATCAAAGGAAAGACATTTACTTTTTTAAAATGCTCAGACTTATTGGAAACAAGATCATTTCTCCGGTGTATTTAGAAGAATAATCTAGGTCCACTGAAATGTACAATACAGAAACAGCAGACTTCCCCTTGGCGAAATATGGGGCATTGTGTATCCTCACAGAAGTATTCATTTCTTTAGAAATGAGCAAAGTATTCGCCATGATGAGCTATTTGAGACAAGTCATTCGCCTGCCATTGGACATTACGGGAATCCTACCTACAGTCTCATGAGTGGGACATATTTACGCTTGGGACCCAGTGTCAAGACTTCTGAACAGTGGCATAAATCCATCAGCTATGCTGACATCTCAGCTTGTTTGAAATAATTAACTTTGTATGCATTTTTTTTGTCTCCTTCAGAAATGAACACACCTGAGTGTGCTACTAGACACCTGTGAGCTCTCCGATCACCTCACGGCTTTGGAAAGACTTGAAGAAGGAAGGTGCCAGAGTAGTGGACTCCAACAACAAGCTTCTTCCCCTGGGCCTTGACCTTCCTGCTCCCGGGCCACGATGGAGACACTCTCCCAAGATTCTTTGATGGAATGTCAGATCTGTTTCAATTATTACAGCCCCCGGCGAAGGCCCAAGCTGCTGGATTGCAAACACACCTGCTGCTCGGTGTGCCTTCAGCAGATGAGGACAAGCCAGAAGGACGTGAGGTGCCCGTGGTGCCGGGGCATCACCAAGCTGCCCCCGGGCTTCTCCGTGTCCCAGCTCCCCGACGACCCCGAGGTCCTTGCGGTCATTGCCATCCCGCACGCCTCTGAGCACACCCCAGTCTTCATTAAACTTCCCAGCAATGGGTGCTACATGCTGCCTCTGCCCATCTCCAAGGAGCGAGCACTGCTACCTGGAGATATGGGCTGCCGCCTGCTGCCCGGGAGCCAGCAGAAGTCTGTCACCGTTGTGACCATCCCCACCGAGCAGCAGCCTCTGCAAGGTGGGGCTCCCCAGGAGGCAGTGGAGGAGGAGCCAGACAGGAGGGGCGTGGTGAAAAGCTCCACCTGGTCGGGGGTGTGCACTGTGATCCTGGTGGCCTGTGTCCTGGTCTTCCTTCTTGGCATCGTGCTCCACAACATGTCTTGCATTTCGAAGCGCTTCACTGTGATATCCTGTGGCTGAAGAGGGCGGCAGGGAAGTCTCTTGTGGGTGCCAACTAGGGGCCGAGCAGGTGTTGGTGATGGGATCGAGGTGAGAAGATGGGGGCGATGCTGATCATTTGGTGCCGAGCCTGGCCTCTGGGCTGCCACTTGATTGACCCAAGACAGACATGAAGGGCAGAACGGGAGGTCTCAACAAGGTACCAGGCGGATCGCTCTGAGTACTGATGGCAGCAGCTTCGAAGACGATTGCATGCATCCTCATAGTCGTTTATTAAATGGACTGTAATTTATGATTTTGCAGAATCATGTTATGAGATAGACATTAAAGTACTTAGACGTTAAACTGTGCAAGTGCATACAATGTGATCTTCTCTAAATGTGGTAGATTAAAACAAAGATGCTATGTATACAAGTAGAATTAAACCTGAGAAATCCATGTAAAAATTCAGCGACGATGTGCAGTGCTGGTTTCTCTCTTTTAAAAAAAAAAAAAAAACAAAAAAAAACGAAACCCATCTTCATTTAGTTGCTAAGGCTTTTTACACTTTTTGAACAGCACCCAAGTTAAAGTAAGTTAAGCAGACAGTCATTTTTGAGGAAAATATTTGAATGTTTCCAGTGTGTTGTGCTTTGCCATGTATCTTCATTTTTCTTCCCTTGTAATTAGAGCTCGATACATGTTTATTAAATTGAAAGCCCAACACGAGGGCAATGCACAGAGTGATAATGAGAAATGCCTAATCCCACAGGAAAACTATATGCCAATTTTTCTCAAGCCATCTCACAAAATAAGAATTTTAAATGTAAATATTGTGTATTCGTGTGTGTGTGTGCGCGCGCGTGTAATTTGATTTACCTCAGGTTTTAAATTTTCCAGAAGAATCCTGGTGGTAAGACTTTGTGAGCATGAATGAGTTCAGGGTCTGAAATGGTGGTGACCTCCTGGGCTCTGGGACCCACCCACTAAGATGTCACATACTCACCACTTCCAGCACTTGCTCTTCTTCTGCGTATTCAAGTCCTGTATTCTGCGAGGCACAAATGGAGAGTAACAGAAAAGTCTGTCTTTTCTCCCAATTTTGGGGTATTGTAATCGCCATGAGTATTGTTAACTGATGATAAACCTGGACTGGCATTTTAATAGACAGTCTATGATTATTTTTTGAAACATATTGTTCCACGAGAGTTAAACCATTCAGAAATCCAGTTTCCTCTTGTTGTATAAGTAAGAATATTTCTTGTATTTTAAAACATGCTTTTATTGAGAAAAGTGGCAAGGTAAACCAATGGCTCACATTCCCAGTTTAAGTGGACCAGTTCCTCGTAAGTTATCAAATATTCTTAAATGCGTAATTGTAGATGTGCATGAAGAAAGATCTGCTAGTATTAAATGATAAATTCCTATGCCTGGATGTGTGTGCATTCAGAAATAGCTGCAAGCTTTACAGTTCTTTTCTAATTTCTTTTATGGAATTCATGAAACAAGTGGTATGCGACAAGGACTCCACTCATAAATATATCTGTTTATGTTCCATTGAATCCATGAAAATAGGGGAGAGAACGATAAGCAGTGACTGGTTCCAAAAAGCAAGGCTAGAAATAACCCTGTAAGATGGAGATAATTTAATTTACTTATATACTAACTATTACCTTCAAACTCACAAAATATGCACATTAAAGTGATGGAAATTATATGAGATAAAATGACAATATAATGACTAGAATCCAAAGCTAATATTGTTCATTGGTGTGAGGATTCAATATAAAAATATGAACTTGGGTTTTTTAAATTTTTCATAAGACCTTTAGGAAATGTATTTGAAAGCTCAAACTAGAAATTAGGTTAAAATGCCATTTTATTGTGTAAACTATTGGGCATTGTACAACAAATCTAGGATTTATTCGGTATTAATAATTTAGGTATCGTATTAGCTGAATGCTATCCTCTATTTATGTAACATAATATACTGTTGGGTTAGTGTCAATTTCTCAAACTCAGCCAGGCTGCCGTAACACATGTCTGACCTAATTTCTATTTCTCTTGGAAGAAAAAAGAAAAACCCCACAGAAATATTGCATTAAGAATACATCTCAAATACATGCCATGTTCAAATTAAATTTTGTAAAAGATATCTATATGTGTTCATGTACAGTATGAAATGACTGGCCGTGTAGTATATAGTATGTGATAGAATTATTTGTTAAGTAGGTTATATACAGCCACTAATGTGTGTGACAACACAGCGCCCTGTGTTTCTTTGTGCAAAACCGTAGAGTGAAAATGTCCACGTAACTTGTACTTAAAAACAATCCCATGCTAGAGCTGCAGTTAAGCAGTGCAAAATTAATCAGCTCTATGCTGCACTCATGACTTTACCATGTAAGGTCACAATAATAACAAAAATCAGAATTTTCTGTGTGAGTTTTACTGACATAAGAAACATTGTTTAAGTGAATTCTGCCTGCAGTTCCTTGGGTACTTGCTTGTTAGGGTGTGCATTCGTGTGTGTGTGTGTGTGTGTGTGTGTGTGTGTGTGTGTGTGTGTGTGGGTGAGAGAGAGAGAGAGAGAGATTTCTCATCCTGCCTAATAGAATTTTTATAGACTTAATGATGTTTTAATGTTATTTGGCATCCCATTGCTCTGGCCTTGTCTGGCATTAACCCATGACACTAACAACTCATCTACCCCATGTGACAGAAGTCCAGTGATACCATCGGCCAGAATTCACAGTTGCACATCAATGAAAAAATCCCAACTGAAAGCACAGAAAGTTAGAGCTGAAAACAACTTCTGATGGTTTCGTTGTGTAACTGAGTCCTCTGAGGCCCACAGAGATGCATGGCAGCTTGTAATTCAGCAAAAGAGGGGCAAGAACTTGTCAGTGCAGCTTTCTCCTGCTCTTTCCTCGGCCTGTAGACATCTCCTTCGGGCTATGACCTGTTTTAGGGTAATTGAATACCCTTTACTAACTCAACTATTGCTTTAAAGTTTTTTGGTTTTTCTTTTCCTTAGTAGATTTACGTATTCATTTTAGTTAGCATCTACCTCTGGGAAATGAAAGGAGTGTTGATTTAGGGATGAGTATAGACTTTTAAAGAAAACCATGTGATCTGAATTTTTGAAATTGCAAGCCATTGGTTTCCCCCACACCCTGCTGCCCTGATGTAAAGGACAATGAGTGTTGTGTAAATAGTAAACTATAAGAAGCATGAATTTTCATCTTTATTAGTGATCTTGACATAAGCAAGAGAATGCTTACTATGTTAGGTAGAGCCAAAGATGCTGTCAAAAAGCATTGTCTTTGGAAAACTTTTGTATAATGACCTGGGGCACAAGTTGTGATGAAAAAGCAAATCGGTTCTCAGTTCCAGTCATACTTTATGATCAGAAAGCTATAAGGTATTTTGTTTAAGAATATAATTAAGTTTAATCTTGCACATGACTGAAGAGTGGGTCCCTTGAAGTGAGCTGGTGCAGCCCTTGGGATCCTCTAGCTTGGCACTTTTCCATGGAAATGATGATGAGATGATGGAAACGTTCTATAACCAATGCAGCCCAATCCAGTAGCCACTGGCCACCTTGGCTATGGGGCTAGTTCGACTGAGGAATTGGATTTTGGATTTTGTTATTTAAAGTTATTTAAATTTAGTCCCTCACATGGCTTGTGACTGCCATATTGGACCGCACAGTTCTGGATGGCTGTGTAATGAGATGCAGCATCAAAGTGTTAGGAGTAACAGTAAGGCTAAGAAGATAGTTTGTGGTTTAGTAACATGCAGTTGGCTAAAAAAAAAAAAAAAATCGTTTCTGAGCTTAAAAAGTATATGATCTCAAGTATGTCAGTAAAAATTCATTGATTGCCCTTTGGGGTTATTACTTACATACTTTGGGCCAAGGAATGATGAGTGAAGCTTTAGGAGTGCTTTATGAAGCCCCTTTTCTGGGATCATTAGCTGCATGTGAATGTGTTGTCCAAACATCATAGTTAGAGAGTAGCTGTAAAACGTTTGACTTGCAAGCTATGCATGACCTGTACTGTGAAAATGTGTTTAGGGTCTTGTGGTCTTAGGCCAGAAAAACAAAAAACAAAAAAAACCCAGCCTAGTGAAATCCCTCTTCACTTCCAACATCTTACCCAGGCTTCATTGCTGCATTAGGAAGATGTGAAGTATAAGAGCAAGCATGCTTTGCGGTGTTCTTAGAGAGTGTTTTGTTTGCCCTTGAAGTCGGTCAGCTTGTCATTGTATTTGGTGTGGGCATCATTTTTCATTTGCCAGACTAAAACATAGGTACAATTTTCAGGGTGAGATCTGACATTGTTTTAGTCTTGTTTGGCTTTTTCAAATTTTCATTACCACTGAAAGAATTAAAGATTTGTAGCCTGGCACAAAGGCACTTTTTTTTTTTAACATTAAAAAATGTTGCCCATGGAATTTAAAGACTTGAGGGTTGTTAAACTTTCTAAAATTGCTCTATAAGTGAGTAAAGGTTAACTGAAAATTTAGTTTGAGAACATATATATATCAGACTCTTCCTGGTAGTACAGTATTTATTCCAGCCTAGATTTTGATTTAAAGGGTTGCCATAGCTTTATCTGAAAACCCATGTGGTGTCAAAATTGGTTAGTCTGCTTTTCATTGTTTCTAAATGTAACATAAGCCAAATACATTTGCTTCAATTTAGCAGAATTTACTTGATTTTTTCCCCCCTAGAACTCATGAATGGGTATTGACTGTTCTTTTTAGCTTGTCTTAAAAAAAATTTTTTTGCCAAAGTAGTAGTTTTTCTTTAGACTTAAAAGGAAGTTAGAAGTCCAAAGTTGATTAGTATGAGAGGAATGCTATGCAAAAGGTTTGAATTTCTATCTTCTCTGAGAAAAATGATGCTGCTAACCAGTCAGCATTTTGTTTCCACACAAGATGTGTCATCAGTCAGTTGATCTGTCATCCGTGACCTAGAAGAAAGAAGCTGTTCCTTATCATTTCCGTCATTCTCAGTAAAATATCACTCACAAAATAATCCTTACCAAAACAAACTCCAAAGAAGAATGAGATAGTAAAGATAATTCCATAACTGTTTTGAAAATAGTCTGTTTCAAAAGGGATGGTCAGTTGCTGAATTTTGTTAAACATTTAAGAAACACTTCTTAAAAATAAGTGGAAATTCAAGCCATTCATATTTCTATATATATAATTTAGCACTAAGAGGAGTTAAAAATCAAGTAAAGATGTTGTTACACATGTTTTCCATTGTGTGGGTTATATAATGTTGAATTTAGAAATTACTATCTTAACAAATTCTATAGGCTGCATACATTATGTCAAGCCAACCATTTTGGGGAATGTCCATATAACAAAACTCTTGAGACTTTTCAAATGTACAAAGAGGTAGGTTTGGCATACATTTTATTGGAAGGCCATTGGTTGAAGAACATAAGCAGGTGGGGCATTTAATTTCCATCTTTGAAATGGATTATTGTTTGACTCTGCTTGAGTGGTCATGGTAGATCACTGTTATTCCTACACTCGTACAATATGGCTCTGATTTTTCTGCACAAGTTTCCTTGCACAGTCAGGCCAATGATTTTTTCTTTTCAGGATTCACTGCCTGGGGTATCCCACTATGTATATTTCACTTATGATGTAGTGGTGCTTGAAAACACTCATCTCGTTAGCTAGACTTTATTCTTCTAGTCTAAAGTTTTTGATACTATTCATGTTATGACCTTTTTAGGGACAATCAGTAATATTTGTGGCAATGTACTGAGGGGTCTCTTGAAGTCTGCAACAGCATGCATTTTTTTTGTTTTTTTTCTGGGGGGTGTTCTCTTGTAGCTGTTCCTATTCTTCTAGACCTGCTCTAAATTTATCACCTAGTAGCCCATGTGAAAGTCTTCTGTGATGTCCCTGAGGTTAGAGATATTGGGCTGTTCTAACAAGAGTTTTCCAAAGGTATGCTCAGTTTTTAATTTGACATTTGCTACTTGAGAATCCAGAAATAGAAGGTTGGATGGGATGGTGGTGGAGGAGCTTGGGCTATAAGAGTAAGGGAATAGATGAGGCAAATGCCCCTTAAAGGGGAACAAGTTGACATCTATGTCATCTCTATTTAAATAATGGGAGGATGGAGTAGCTGGTATCTTACACTGTGTTTCAGAAAATTCCTGTTTGGGTTTTCCTGGCTGAGGAACAGCCCAACTATTAAGTAGATCCTGTGTGGGAGAGATGACCTTGGGTCAATAGCAACAGATGGGTGGATCTGCCCAGAGAGTGAGAAAATACTCCCATAAAAGGGAAGGAAATCTGTCATGGGATTATAGCTCCAAAACAAATTGTATAGGAGCTGAAGAAAGAAGCACAGGACAACTGGGAATAAGTTGGCCAAGCGTAATTTGTCATTCCAGTATGGCCTACCGAATTCAATTCAAGATGTTTTAATTGAAGACATACAGGGAATGTACTCGGCTGATGAGAGGGTCCCACAAAGCCCCATTGGGTTGTCAGCACACTAGGCAATTTCAGCGCCTGCTCTAGAGTTGATTGCTGAGTCATTACAAACTCGAATAACATCCTCTTAACCATGGAATGCATGCTTGGGCCTACGGGTGTATCTTGATTTCAGTAGGTTAATACTATGGGGAAGACTCTTTCAAGAATATTCCATTTCTATCCTGGCTGTTGTCATTTATTATAGTTTTTCTTCCACCACTTGCTCCTGTTTGCCTCACTTGATGGTTGCAGCTGGGGAGGCTGGTTTCAGCTTGGGGTGTTACAAACTCCCAACATAAGCCATGCAGCTGCTACAGTGGGGTTCCTACCATTCTTTAGGGTTCCATTGGTGGGTTCCCTGGCCCTCTTGATAACTGATACTCCAGTCAAATGGCTAGATTTATGCTGCTCAGAGGCTGTTAAGTCCTTGATGTGTTTCATTTACAATTATGTGGATTATTTATTTTAGGAGCTTTTCTTTTAAAGGGCCAAATTGCCCTACAGATAAGTGAGCTGCTGGGCTGTATAAAAAATATTGTCCAAATGTTGCCAAATATTGACTTCATAAGGGGGATATCCAGCTGCTGTTCATAAATCTGAATGTCTTAAAAGCATTCCTGCTTGCTCTCTCTGTTGTAGATGGTGTCTTAGCAAGTCCTGAGTTTTTCCAATGAACCCAATTTTAATATATGGTATTTTTGTATGCCAAACTGGTGTCTTGTCCTTTGTATATGTGGTAATGTTGATTTTATGACTACTGTTAAAACACATTTGCTATGATTAAAATTCATAAAATGATTTCAAATAGACTCACGTGTTGGTTTTCCTTTTTCCCTCACCCCATGGGGGTAAAAAAAAAAAATTGGCTGGAATTTTCCATGGTTAGGCTACTCTTAGAATTTTAATAGACTAGGATAATAAAGCAACAAGGAGCTCCCAAGCTAAGGATTTTAAGTAGAGGTGACCTTCAAGTGGCTCCTCTGAGAAGCCAAACAACTCATTTGTA